TCACCAGTCTAGTCTTCGATGATGTTGCAGCTGCTGTTCTACAAGAAGAAAATCGGCGCAAGAACAAGGAAGACAGACAAGTAAATCTGCAACAAGCAGAAGCGTTGACAACGATGAGAGGGAGATCAACAGAACGTGGCCAAAGCAGCAGTCATAAACATGGTAGATCGAAGTCGAGGAGCAAGAAGAATTTAAACTGTTACCACTGTGGAAAGAAGGGTCACTTGAAGAAGGATTGTTGGAGTCTAAATAAAAACTCCAATCCACAAGGCAATACCGCAAACACTTCAGATGATGGAGATGCTCTATGTTGTGAAGCGTCAACCACCGTGGAAGGTAGACAAAGATATGCAGATATATGGCTCATTGATTCGGAAGCAACATATCACATGACCTCAAGAAGAGAATGGTTCCATCATTATGAACCTGTCTCAGGAGGATCTGTGTATAGTTGCAATGATCATGCCTTAGAGATCGTTGGTGTGGGAACCATCAAATTGAAGATGTATGATGGAACAATTAAAGTTGTTCGAGATGTGCGGCACGTGAAAGGTCTGAAGAAAAATTTATTATCCTACGGATTGTTGGATAAAAATGCAAGCAAGATTGAAACACAGAAAGGAATCATGAAAGTGTTCTGTGGAGCGCTTGTGGTACTGAAAGGCGAAAAAATAGCCGCAAACTTGTACATGCTGAAGGGAGAGACTTTGGTAGAAGCAGAAGCCTCTGTTACCTCATGTAGTTCAGATTCGGCAATGCTATGGCATCAGAAACTTGGACACATGTCAAAACAAGGAATGAAAGTCCTTGTGGAGCAAAAGCTACTTCCAGGCTTAACAAAGGTATCACTTACTTTGTGTGAGCATTACATAACAAGTAAGCAACACCGGTTGAAATTCAACACATCAAATTCTATAGGCAAAAGTGTTATAGAATTGGTTCACTCTGACGTATGGCAAGCACCAGTAACATCCCTAGGTGGAGCAAAATACTTTGTCTCATTTATTGATGACTACTCCAGGAGATGTTGGGTGCACCCTATTAAGAAGAAGTCAGACGTGTTTTCAACTTTCAAAAACTTCAAAGCGCGGGTGGAACTTGATTCTGGAAATAAGATCAAGTGTTTCAGAACAGATAATGGAGGAGAATACACAAGCGAAGAATTTGATGACTTTTGCAAGAAAGAAGGCATCAAAAGACAGTTCACAGTGGCGAATACTCCTCAACAAAATGGAGTGGCAGAGCGCGGATGAACAGAACCTTGTTAGAAAGAACAAGAGCAATGTTGAGGGACGCAGGCCTAGAAAAATCATTTTGGGCAGAAGCAGTCAATACCGCCTGTTATTTGGTGAATCGAGCTCCATCAACTGCAATAGAGCTGAAGACACCAATGGAGATGTGGACTGGTAAACCAGCTGATTATTCAAACCTCCATGTATTTGGAAGTATTGTGTACGTGATGTACAACGCCCAAGAAATTTCAAAGCTAGATCCAAAATCCAGGAAATGCAAATTCTTGGGATATGCTGATGGTGTAAAGGGGTATCGCTTGTGGGATCCCACTGCCCGCAAAGTGATCATCAGCAGAGATGTTATCTTTGTAGAGGATAAACTACAAAGAAAAGAAGACGATGATAGCGCTGAAAAGTCAGAGACTACTCAGATACATGTGGAAAAAGAGTTTGAAGAAGGAGATTCTTCTGAAGCAGAACCAGAACATGATGAACAAGAACCAGAGAGTTCTGAAGCTCCAACAACTCGTCAATCAGATAGTGTGAGAAGACGTCCCAATTGGCACTCAGATTATGTTATAGAAGGTAATATTGCATATTGCCTTTTAACAGAGGACGGTGAGCCATCAACATACAAGGAGGCAATAAATAGCTCAGATGCTTCACTGTGGATGATGGCGATGCAAGAAGAAATCGAAGCCCTTCATAAAAATAATACATGGGACCTTGTGCCACTACCACAAGGAAGGAAGCCAATTGGTAACAAATGGGTCTTCAAAATCAAGCGAAATGGTGACGATCAAGTTGAGAGGTATCGTGCAAGACTGGTGGTCAAAGGATATGCTCAAAAGGAATGTATTGATTTCAATGAAATATTTTCTCCTGTGGTTCGACTAACAACAGTTCGAGTAGTTTTGGCAATGTGTGTTACATTGAACTTATATCTAGAGCAGCTAGATGTTAAAATAGCTTTTCTTCATGGAAATCTTGAAGAAGAAATTTATATGCTCCAGCCTGAAGGTTTTGAAGAAAAAGAAAAGAAGAACTTGGTTTGCAGGTTGAACAAATCTCTATACGGTCTAAAGCAGGAGCCGAGGTGTTGGTATAAGAGATTTGATTCCTTCATTATGTGCCTTGGATACAACAGACTTAATGCAGACCCTTGTGCTTATTTCAAGAGGTCTGGTGATAACGATTTTGTTATATTGCTGTTGTATGTGGATGACATGTTGGTTGCAGGACCCAACAAAGATCATATTGAAGAATTGAAGGCACAACTGGCTAGGGAATTTGAAATGAAGGACTTGGGATCAGCAAACAAGATTCTATGGATGCAAATTCACCGAGACAGAAGTAATAGGAAGATTTGGCTTTCACAAAAGAATTACTTGAAGAAAATCTTGTCACGATTTAGCATGCAAGATTGTAAGCCAATTTCTACCCCTCTTCCTATTAACTTCAAATTATCCTCCAGTATGAGTCCTAGCAGTGAAGAAGAGAGGATGGAGATGTCTCGAGTACCGTATGCATCAGCAGTGGGAAGTTTAATGTTCGCTATGATATGCACAAGACCAGACATTGCACAAGCAGTGGGAGTGGTTAGTCGATACATGGTGAATCCAAGCAAAGAGCATTGGAATATTGTAAAGAGGATCCTAAGATACATCAAAGGGACCTCAAATGTTGCATTATGTTACGGAGGATCAAACTTACTAATCAATGGGTATGTAGATTCTGACTATGCAGGGGATTTGGATAAAAGCAAATCTACTACAGGATATGTGTTCAAAGTTACTGGTGGAGCAGTAAGCTGGGTTTTAAAATTGCAGTCAGTTGTGGCTACGTCCACAACAGAGGCAGAATATGTAGCAGCTACACAAGCCAGTAAAGAAGCAATTTGGTTGAAGATGCTATTGGAGGAGCTTGGGCACAATCAAGAGTATGTCTCTCTGTTTTGTGACAGTCAAAGCGCCTTGCATCTAGCAAGGAATCCAGCATTTCATTCAAGGACTAAGCACATATGAGTTCAGTACCATTTCATTCGTGAAAAGGTGGAAGAAGGAACGGTAGATATACAAAAGATCCATACCAAAGACAACATAACAGATTTCATGACGAAGGCAATCAATGCTGATAAATTTACCTGGTGTCGATCCTCTTGTGGCCTGTCAGAGACGTAAGCAACATGATGGTACAAGGTAGAAAGAATGGTGTGAAGATATGATTGTTCCAATCAAATCTTCAAGTGGGAGATTGTTGAAATGTCAAAGCTTGGAAAATTGGTTCAAGTTAGGCACCTAATATTGCAATGTCAAAATTAGGTGCAACAATGTCAAAATTAGGTGCAATAATATTTGAAAATTAAATGGGTAAATTATAAACTTTAGTCACTAAACTTTAGGGTATTTATAAGATTAGTCCTTAAGTTTCAACTATAAATACCCTAGCTCATTTAGCTTCAAAATCATCCCAAAGCATTCTAGCTTTCTTCCAATACTAGAGAGAATTTAGAGAGTTTCTTGAGAGTTGTTTTCTCCTTTTTATTGAGAGAGAATTGTCATTGTTTTCTCATTGGTAGATCGAGAGAGGTTGTAATTCTTATTTTCTCATAGTAAAATTCTTCTACCGTTGCCCGTGATTTTTACCCTAATAATTTTAGGGGTTTTCCACGTAAATTTTGTGTCTCTTTTATCTTCATTTTTATTTTCTCAAATTATCAGTTGCGATTTTGCTCTATCCGATAGTCGTCTTCCGCAACAGATTTAACAACAGGTTTGCCCGCATTTGTATGGAGATAGCCACACTAGACTCTTCACTTACTGGACTGTAAGACCAAACTCCATCTTACTATCCTCTAGTCCTTCGACTCAGTGTGTCAACTCATTGGCCTGTCTTTCTATTTAACACAGAGTGATGCATATCAAGCCACAGGTTGCTATAATCTGCTGTGCTCAATCTTCATTCAGATCAACAATGAAATCGCAATGGGTGCAAGCATCTACCCTCTTTCTGGTTATCATAATCCCCAATATGTTATAAGCTTACTTGTGTGGAAGGTAGGAATTAAGAAGCTACCCATATATCCATGAGTGTATGATGTTGAATGCATGTGCTTTTTTTACCTCCAAGTGATTTTAAACCAGTGTTCAAATGGTATGTGGCGGGACCCGACGGAGGGGAACTGGTGGCTGCAATTCGGTAAGAAGTACGTGCTAGGTTACTGGCCAGCCTTCCTATTTTCCTACCTATCAGACAGTGCATCCATGATTGATTGGGGAGGAGAGATTGTGAACTCGGAATCAGACGGACAACATATATCCACACAAATGGGGAGTGCCATTTCTCGAACGAAGGTTTCGGCAAAGCTAGTTACTTCAAGAACATTCAAATTGTTGATGGATCCAACAATCTCAGGGAGCCTAAAGGCCTTGCCACTTTCACCGACCAATCCAAATGCTATGATGTACAAACTGGGGAAACTATTTTTACTACGGTGGTTCGGGTCAAAACCCGAACTGCCCTTGACATTGTCGTTAACATTGAAACTATCTTATAATATTACGTCATTAAAAATAAATACGTTCAAGTGTCGACTTGAAAAATACATCTAATTTAAGTATCAACTTGAAATAAAGAAATTCTTAATAATTTAAGAATATGCTTCTTCCGAGTTCTAAATATATATTTAAACTTTAATTTTTCTACTAATTCACAGTTAAATATATGACTTAACATGCCATACAATACCATAACATACCACATTACAAGCAGAGCATTGTAATTAGATAACAATCATAAAGTTGAAATAATTCTAAGGTTTTTGACATTAAATGTACAAAATCTGATGGCCCTCCAAAGTTTAGCTGAATCCGATTATATGTGTGGGATTTACCTGGCTCTGGACAATTGTATGGCCTCTTGGTCTACAGTTGAATCTTCACCCCAAGTGAACTGATGAGAGAAAAGCATGAACTCTCGGTTCCTTACTTCTTCGAGCTCCTCCCATTCTGCCCATCTCACTGCCAGCCCCTCTCCATCCAACATTTTCACCACTTCCGCCATTGTCGGCCGGTCTTCGGGGGAGCTCTGAGTGCACAGCAATGCAACTCGAACAATTGTCTCGACTTCTTTTGGATCATAAATCTTCAAGTTCCCATCAACAATGTCATCAACCCTGTTTTCTCTCAGCAGCTTTTTTATCTGATAACATCAAATTTCCATTATCCTAAGAAATCATCTATAATGCTACAAGTTCAATTATGTCTATGATCTTACATGATCGAGTAGAAGGACATCCTCTTCCTCTTCTAACCGAGCAAAATCTATTGCACGTTGACCGGTTACAAGTTCCAGAAGCATTATACCATATCCGAAGACGTCGGTTTTCTCAGAAGATTTTCCCGTGGACAAATATTCTGGGGCAATGTGACCCATGGTGCCTCGCACTTGAGTGGTGACATGAGTCAACTTCGTATCGACGAGCTTTGCGAGCCCGAAATCTCCGAGAACAGCTTCGAAATCGTCGTCTAAAAGTATGTTTGCAGCTTTTAAATCACGGTGTATTATCTTCGGATTGCAATGCTCGTGTAGATACTCCAATCCATGTGCTGCTCCGAAAGCTATACGTTTCCTCATTGGCCAGTCCAAGCCCTTGTCTCCAGGTTTTCGATCTATAGAAATATTTCAGGTGTAAACTATGGTAAAAATGGCACGACTGCTTCAAGTTAAGTCAATAGTTGATGCAAATAATGGACAAGTACCTCTGAGTTGATATGCTACACTTAAATTTTGCATGAAAGGATAAACAAGAATTCTTTCGGACCACGTTGTGCAGAACCCGATCAACCGTAGAAGATTCTTGTGAACTGCAACACTTATGAGCTCGACTTCCCTCTGGAATGCGGCTTCACCGCCGGGACTATAATAATCCGCGAGGCGTTTCACGGCAACCTTGGTGTTGTCGGACAGGACACCTTTATAAACTCTTCCGAACCCTCCTTGTCCAATGATGTTTCCCTCGTTGAAATCATCGGTTGCAAGTTGGATTTCACGCCACGAGAATCGCCGTAGCTGGCCAAAGGGAATTTTGAGGTCATTTTCACCTAAAGTTCAGAAACTGCAAGTGTTAACTTCTACAAACTAACGACATATGTGAAAAACACAAATAAAGAATAGAAAATCACCGGTGACATCGACGAAAATGTCACGCTTAAGCTCCTGTAGTTGATAATACCGGGACACGAAGAGAGCCCCAAGTGATAGAAGTATGATTGCAGCACAACTTGCAGAGGTTACAACAATCCTAATTTTGGACCTATTGCTTGAAACTGCCAAAATAGACCATATTTAATCCCACATGTGAAATGGATGCAGTAAAAAGGCTGGTACAGAGGACAAACCAGGGAGTGTAGTAGGCGAAACACAAGGTTGTTCCAAGCTAGAGCCACAAGCAAGATGTGTTCCATTGAAGCTGACAAAATAATATTGTCAATAGGGCGTAGAAAGTAGAAGAGTTATAGGAGATAGAATTTCCTATGAAGCTTACTTGATTCTTGGAACCAAGAATAAATTCCTTGGAATTCTTCCAGTTAAATTGTTGGATGAAAGATCCCTGCCAAGTAAATAGATTTGTGAATATGAAAGAGGGTGAAGTAGAGAAATAAACATCACAAGACTTATATACAAGTTTGATACTATTTATCAAACAAGAATTTTATTATGGAATAGAAGCACATATATGAATGGTTCCCATTAAATACCAAAACTTATATCTTAATCGGAAGGGTGACTGTCCAATATCGAGATGCATACAACACACGTATGCTCGATTCTTTTTCGTTTTTCTTTCCATATATGAGGAAGATTATACCCTGTACTCATGTTCGAATATGTGTAGGCCACAAGAGTCATGTTCAAGTACTTCAAGGAAAATGAAGAGCTCGAGGAAAAAGCATTAGTAATAGTGGGAAAATACTCCATTTGCTTATGAGAAAGGGAAAGAGCAGTCTTACAGATTCTTTAAATTGGATAATTGACCCCAATTTTCTGGAATAGAACCACTGAATTTATTATTTGCAAGATTCAGAACTTCTAGATGCACCATATCACCAAGGAAATCAGGCAACAAACCATTTAGATTATTGTTTTGTAAATCCCTGCAAAAGTAGACAAAAGCTATTAAGACTCTAATACACCACAATCGAAAGATAAAGACAATGATACTAAACTATTAAGTGTTTAACATTTTACTAAGGCATGATAAACGAGCATATCATAACACAAGTCATTCCAAATTGAAGGCACATCTAGTGAAACCCATTTCTCAACAGAAGCATCTTTAATATGCAAATTGAAGTGCTTATACGATCAAAGTTTTTGTGTTCCTTTTATTCTACAGGATACCAAATCACAGATAAAGACAATTCAATGAATGATGATGAAATTCAGCACCATCATACAGCATCATTATGACTTACAACTTAACCAGAAACTTCAGTTTCTTAATCGAAGGAGAAAGAGTTCCTGAAAATCCATTTGAAGCAAGATTCCTGCCAATTAATACATTCACATGTTATTTTTAGTTATTATCATTAGGAAATAGAAGATTTGGAGTTTGCTTAGAAGATGTGGAGTAATAAAATTATTGGCAAGTAAGCAAGCCTTTCATTACAAATCAACCACAATTCAATTTCCATTCAAAATGGTGAACTTACAAGGATATGACATTCCCATTCCTGCAGTTGACATGAGACCAGCTAAAGCAGGGACTGACAAGATTATTGTTCCAATCAGTTATTCGATCACTGGAATCATTGAGAGCCTTGAGAAGCTCAAGCAAGGCATTACCTGAACATTTGGAGAATCATTAAACATGAATCCGATTCGAATCCATCATAAGAGAATTCAGAAACATTCGACTAAGACAAGCTCTTTCGTTATAAAAATTATGGTTCTTCACCAATAACAAGCCTATTCATGAAATGGTATTTCCAACACCTGTTGGCGCCTAGAAATACTTCCTTTAACACTCATTTCACACAATTAACTCTGAAATTTTGAATGCAAATCTCTTCATGGATTTTTCTCTTGTTTCACTCTATTTTATTTTGTGGTTCATGTGTGTTCAAGAAGAACTTGAAGTGCAATCGTCTTCTTCTTCCTACATATACTGACAACTGGATAAACAAATTTTGGTATATAATGCTGCTTTTGACAGAATTCATTAAGGGAAACCTGTTCACATATTCTCTTTTTTCCCCCCATGAATCTTCATAAGTAAGATCAGAAAAATAAATTGAAACCAGCAAGAGAAAAAGGACTTTTAAGTTATGGTTACCATACCCTCAACATCAGGTTGTTTGGATGAATAAGTCGTTCCAATGAAAAGAAGTAGGAGCCAAATCGTAATAAGCTTTAAAGGGTGGCATCTGGGAAAAGCTTCAAAACTACAACTTTTTCCTGTATTCTCCCAGGAAAATGGACCCAACAACCTGTCAACACCTTTGAAAAGTGCAGGAAAACAGGGAAAATTATTTACTTTACATCATGTTACCAAGAAAGTAGGCTACTTTTTGTTACACAATAGGGCACACAAACTAGTGTCAAAAACTAAAAACAAAAAAAGGGTAGAGCCCAACATCTCTTTTGCAAGTTAGTAATTCATCTCAGCTCAACTCTCCCATTCTTTCGGTGCCATCAGGTCCTTTTGAAAGGAGTTTTTTGGCGACATTTGTCTAATAATCAACTTGTATTATACACAGTGATGGACGAGGGGAGAGGTCGGGAAAATAGTATCCTGAAAATTTTAAATTACTAAATATTTTAAATATATTTTTTATTAATAATTTATTTTTATTCTCTATAGTTTTATAAATTCATCCCTTCTAAAATATTATATCTCCATTATTCTAATATAAAATCATATGTACTTCCATGATTATAAAGATTACAAAACAAAACAAAAAGAGCAGTTCAGACCTCTTCGTTCCTGGCGATTGCTTCTAGAATGGAGAACTTACAGCAAATTCCAGGATTGAGTTCATTGGACATTGTATAAAAAAATTATAAAATAAAAATAATTCATATATCTTTATTCGGAGTAATTTCTTTTTCTTATTACTTATATCACTTGGCTCTTATATTTTATTATCGGTATAAATTAGAACAAAATCAAGAAACTCGATGTTTGTTTTAACTAAGCTATGGAAATATGTTTTTAAAAAATAATAATTAATATTGTCAGAAATGTGTTTTTTTATTCCTTTTCTTATTTTTATATAATTAAAAATTACTCATAATGCATATTAAATCAATTTCATAAATAAAAGACTTGATATCAACATAAATGCTCAAATTATACCGTTTTTCTCGGATAGGTGCCTAAATTATTTTTTTGACTCATCAAGGTGTGTAACTTTACAAACGTTATCACTTTAAGTGCCTAATGTTTCAAACATTATCATTTTAAGTGTCTCGATTCTAATGGTCGTTAAAAAAACCGATTAAATGACACGTGTCACAATCTTAGAATTTTGAAAAAATATTTCTTAAAAAATAAAAAAATTATTAAAAAATTTAAAACACACACCCGTTTGGTCGGCCGTTTAACCGTCAATGAATAGGTGGCCAGAGATGATCGGTGGTTGGAGTAAATGAGACTAGAATAAGATATTTTAAGAGTTTATGGTTTTTTTATATTTAAAAAAAAATGACTTTTTCAAAAATAAAATATTTTTAAGTTTTAAAAAAATAAAATTTCAAAATTATCATATGGTGACATGTGTCACTTAATGAGGTTTTTTAATGGCCGTTAGAACCGAGATGCCTAAAGTGGTAACGTTTGTAACGTTAAACACCTAAAGCGGTAACATTTATAATGTTAGGCACCAGGATGAGTCGAAAAATAATTTAGGTACCTATTTGGGAAAAACAATATAGTTTAGGCACTTATTTTGGTATTAAACCTAAATAAAATATTTTATTTTATTAATGACATGAATGTGACAAAATCAAACACTTTTTATTACATTTCGTAGTATGATATTATTTGCTCGAAATTGAAATAAATGAAACTTTTAGCTTCATCACTAAAATTTGATCACGTTCTTGTTTTGATGATTAAATTTAAAAAAAATTAATTTTACATTTAACTTTTAAATTGTTCATGTTGGTCGCTTCACAATTATTTCTCTAACTATGTGATAATATGATATATTTTTTATTAATTTTAAGTTGTTTAACCATAGATTAATATTTTATTAATATTATTATTTTATAGATTTTAATTGAATTGAACTCCATCTTACCATTCCAGAGCTTATCGTCCTCATTTCGTAGCCTATCATCCAAAACCAACCATTGAAGGGTGTCATGAAAGCAGGGATGAACCAAGAGGCGGATGGGCAGTCTCCCCTTCCCAGAAATTTTTAAATTTGTCTAAATTTAAAATATTGTTTTATCTATTTTTTATTGATAATCTATTTTCGTCCCTTAAAATTTATACGTTTGTCCCGTAGCATATGAAAGGCAATATGTGAAGAAAAGAAAAGAAAGAATAAGAGCAATAAGCAGGGTGCCATGGTTGCAACTTTGGGTCGTCAATGGCTAAGTGGCTAACGGTTTGCAGTGTTGAGTTTTCAAGGTCTACAGTGAGTCATAATGAAGCAGGAAAGACAAAGCATGCGCAATTTTGCAGAATGTTGTCTTTAGGTGAAAATATACGAGTTTGAGATGGTTGAGTAGGTCTGTAGGTACAGTGCAGCAACAAACAAGAATTCAAGGCACTCAGCAATGTGGTGGCAATGGCCTACATCCTTTCTTTTCGCTACTTTACTTCCCCTTAATAATTAAGAATACCCTACACTGCTTAAAAATTAAGCTTCATGTTTTCCAGAAAAAGAGTGCACCAGTCTAGTTTTCAAATGGGTAAACCTAGGGATGGTAATTAAACTCGAAACAGACGGGTTTTATCTGACCCGATCCAATAGTATCGAATTTTTTTAAAAATAATTTGGGTTCGAGTCGGTTTTTTAAAGGGTGACGTCGGGTTGAATTTGAGTGGAGAGTGAAAAAACTTTAATCCGAACTAGGAACAATAATGTTATTTCTTTAAAAATATCTATTACTTTTTTAATTAAGTTATTATTTTATACCGGTTGAGTCAGATTTATACTCTAAAAATTTAAGTCGGATTAGAGTCGGGTGAAGAACATATATTTTTTGTGTTGAATCTAGTCGGATGAAACCTGTATAATTTTTGGATCATATCAATTTCGAATAAAAGATACATATTTTCAAATCAGATTGGATTGACAAAAAACCCGCCTCTACCATTCCCTGGTAAACCCTAGAAATCCAACACTAAAAACTACACCCACAGCCTCAGATGCTATAAAGTTATCACAGATTTTTCCTTCACCTTAGATTTTAGTGTGCCTTTGAAGATCAGAATCTTCATTTAAAGATTTCAACAATAAAAAGAACCCTCTTAAGGCGAGGAGCAACATAAATTTATTCAAGTTTCTTCCAGTGGAACAGATTGGAGTCTAAAAAATCAAAACAATTCATCTCTGCCAAACTTGCTCCCTCCCACCATAGTGTTGTTTGTGTTTTAGACACTCCATCTCTGCTTGTTCGAAATCTCGTTAATCTCATTATAAGAGATAGGCTTAATACTAAAATAAGTGTCTAAATTATACCATTTTCCTGAATAGGTGTCTAAACTATTTTTTGATTCATCCAAGTATCTAACGCTACAAACGTTGCCACTTTAGGCGTCTGACGTTACAAATGTTGTCACTTTAAGTGCCTCGATTTTCACGGCCGTTAAAAAAGTCAGTTAAGTGACATGTGTCATAATATGATAAAAAATTTATTAAAAAAAACTCAAAAATATTTTATTTTTGAAAAAGTCTCATTTTTTTTTCTAAAATGCAAAAAAAAAAAAAACTCTTAAAATCTCTTATTCTAGTCCTATTTACTCCAACCGTCGATCATTTCCGACCATCCATTCACTAGCGGTGGACCACCTATATGTTGTTGACCACCCATTAACCGGTTACAACTCTTAATATCATCTCAAAAATCTAAAATTTCCAAATCCCTAAATTCCATTCCCTAATATCTAAAATCCAAATACTCAAATCCCTTAAATTCATTTGATTGATCTTAATAATTTACCATTTAACCAATCGTAAAAACTGACAAAGCGTTATAGTTAGACACTTATTTTAATATTAGGCCACCGAGATATCGATCACTTCTTAGTCTTGCAAGCGTAATGTAATCATGTAATTAGCGATCCTCTTTCTATTAAAAAAATCCCACTTGATATTAAAATATTTGTTTTATATTACAAATAAAATAAAATAAAATTTATTTAATTAAATAATTTTAAATTTTAAATTTATAAATCGTTAATCATTCAAATACTACGGTTTAATTTAATTTTTAGTATTTATTTATTTACTCAAGCCATTTAACACAATCAAAATTTCATTGAAAATAGTTTTACTTTGAAATATATATTTAATTTTGGTATTATAAACTTACGAGGTAAAAATATTAGTAGTAGAATTTTATATAAGATGTATAATTGTAGAAATTGAATTTGAGTTATTATAATAGTTTTCCTCATTTAAAATTATTTTGAAGTACGAACCAAATAAATACATCGTCTATAAGATTAACAGGTAAGATTAAAAAAAATGTAAAAATGGTTATGTGTTATGATATTTAATATCAAAGTTTTAATTTATTTGTTAATCTTATTTTAATCGAATAATCCGTGACCTCGAGATCACATCGACCTCCCGTGGAACTCTTGAATTCAGAGTAAATTACTAATTAAGATTAGAACCAAGAACTTGAGCAAAAACAGTACACCGACTGTTTGTTTAAATGCCAAAGTACGTCCAATAAAACAGTACGAGCAAAATAGACACAGATAATCAGTTTTCGGAGATTATGTAAACCAGCATCTTTAAGGAAGAACATACCTGATTTGGCAGCCATGGATGTTGCAGCAAAACCAGGAAACCATGAGAAAATAAAACAAACGAACAAAACAAAAGTGCGGAAGATGACAGGAAGAAGAAGCCGAGCGGATAATTCAAGAGACGATGATGATGATGGGTCTAACAATGATGAATGAAGATTATGTGAAAATGGGGGGTAATGGTTTTAGTGCGGGGTCGGTCCCCATAAAAACAGTACTAATTTGATTAAACGATTAAGAAAAACAAAGCAAAAGCAAAAGAAATTCTGACAAGTGACAAGGGGGTGATATTAATGTGGAATAGAATATATTTGTTGAATGAAATACAGAGTCGCGGAATAGAATATTATCATCATATAAGCATTGATTTCATTTCACGTTTTGGTTGGGTATTAGATTTCAAATCCCAAGGTGGGTTGAGAATGCGAATGAGAATGAGAATCCCACTAATTAATGTCTCTTCTCTGTTTTTTTTCTTTGATTAGAATACTTATGTAATTATTGTTTCTTTTATTCAATTTTTAATTTACTTTTTAAATGAATTAAATTCAGTCCAATTGATACTATTATCTGTACAACATATAAAAAAAATAGGGATGACAAACGAGTATAATTTCGTGGATTTCGTATCGTATTCGTTCTAATTAGGACGGGGATGTGTATAATTTTAGTGGGTAGTGGACGGGTGTGGATTTAGAAAGTGGTATCCGTCGTATGTAGTGGGTGGGTGATGGGTTTGAGACATTCCCCGCCCCGCATCCGTCCGCCTACTAAATACCCATTAAATTTTGGACTATTGTGAATTTAGATATAATTTTAGAGAATAATTTATAAATATTAACATTATATAAGATATAACTTATAATTTAACCAAATATTAGGGATAAGTTTATGAATCAATTTTTTTCTTTCAAACCTCTCGTGCTTTGCTTGCTAGTTACACTTAACTCAGATAATCGTTGGTTTATTTTATGTACTTTAAGATCTATGTTAACATTTAACTCATATATTCTTTGGTTTATTTTATTATGTTTCTTAATGGATGTGTTTATTTTATGTTTGTTGCTTATGTATAACTTAAGGTTGCTGTCAGGCGGGTTTAGCCGGGTACGTCTCCAATTGGGTAGTAGGTGTGGGAATAGATTTGAGAATGTACCCGCGTGGGCGGGTGTAAATTTGAAAAAATTTACCCATCAGAGGTGGTGGATGAGTAGTGAATTTGAAAATATTAGGTGGGTATGGAGATAGAGGAGGGGGTATCCACACCTGACCCACTCGTTTGTCATCCTAATAAGAAGGGGTTATATGAAATAATTCAATTGTTTTTGGAAAGAACAATATTTAATACATTTAAATGTTTATTCTTTCTCATTTAAAGATAAAATATAATTTAATTACTTTAAAAGTAAAATAAATTGTTGTAAATTGATGAAAATAAAATTGAAAACCGGGACAAAGAAACAACGGTTCAACCGATTCAACTAGTTATACCTCTTAATGTTATTTTAATTAATTATTGAATTAAAGGGTTTGTTAGTAAAATAAGAAATTGGCAGTTTCATTAATTTGGGCAAAAATGTTGAGGTAATGATTCGGAAAAAATGTTTTTTCCTCTCATAAATTTATTTATTGAAGTAGGACGGATGTTATAATATCATACGAAAAACGTTGGAACCATATTACATTTTTAAGAAGATATAACGATCACAAGATTAGATATGATTCGAACGTTAAATCTACAAAATAATAAAATAAAAGATGCATTTTTTAGAGGTCGTCTTAAAAATTTCAAATGAATTGTACATCTTTTTAAAATACCGTAACAATCATTCTATGTCGAAAAATAATTCTCCCTCACCTTGTACAAGCTAATATTTTTTCCAATAATCCATTTGATCGATTTAGATTCTATTCTTACGATATCGGTTACATAAAATTTGATAACAAACAACTTGTCATTCCATTTGGGCTTCAGTCGACTCCTTTTTTTTTTTGTTCTTTCCTTTTTTAAGCATTGTTTTAAATTATTTTCAATTTTTACATTTTCGACCTTAAAATTATGGGATGCAAAGATAGAGCCGTCTCGAACATTTTCGGAGCCCTGAGCAAAAATAATAATAATAAACCCTAAATCCTTGATTGAAGGAAAATATATTTAATATCGTAGAAAAACTATTAAACTTTTTCGAACATTAGTTTTGTTGTTTTATTAGGAAAACACCTTAAATACAACTAAGAGAATAAAAAAAATCAAATGTGGGTATAAATTATGATATGAAACTTGATTCTGAATGATACATTAAAAAAAATAAAGAATAACATATTATGTTATTGTTAGATTGAGATTGGAGAAGATTTAGAGTTAAAGAACATTTGGTAAATTGAAAAATAAAATTTGTAAAAAAAATAAATATGATTGGATTTAATTCAAAATTAAATTAATTAATGAGAGAGATGGAGAAGGGGATGGGAAATTGAGAATTTGATTAAATCGAAAAAAAAATAGAGGCCTTAATTATAGAGGTAGAAATTGATATTAAAAAAATAGGGGTCTCAATTGTAAAAGGTATAATTGAGATCGAAAAAACTTAGGGGCCTCAATTAGAAAGTTATAAAGTGAGATTAAAAAAAACTTAAGGGCCTCAATTTTAAAGTTTAAAAAGTGGGAATTAAAAATTAGGGGCCTCAATTCGAAAGTTAAAAAGTGAGATAAAAAAAACTTAATGGCCTCAATTATAAAGTTAAAAAAGTGGGATTAAAAAAAATAAGGGCCTCAATTATAAAGGTAGAAATTGAGATTGAAAAACTTAGGGGCCTCAATTGAAAAAGTAGAAAATGAGATTGAAAAAACTTAAAATCCTTAATTATAGAGTTAAAAAGTGAGATTATAAAATCAGGGGCCTTAATTATAAAGGTAAAAAAGAGATTGAAAAAATTAGAGACTTCAATTATAAAGATAAAAAATAAAATTGAATAATATTAGGATATCAATTATAAATGTAAAAAATAAGATTTAAAAAAATTAAGGAGCTAATTATAAAGATAAAAAATGGGGACCCTGAGCAATCGCTCAAGGTGCTCCCCTAATAAATGGGTCCGCGCAAAAAATAAATTGAAACATAACATTTTAGTTACCATAAAAAGTTAGGACTTTGTAAAATTTTCTTTTTTATTCGGTTTAAATATGTAATATAGGCCTATTTTTTATTATTTTTGTTGGAAATATAGACAACAAAATGAGACATGCACTGACAGGACAATATAAAAATATTGAAAAATGAACAACCGAAACTATGTCATGGTAAAAACCACTACCTTAGAAACAAATTCATCCCAATATGTGCAATCACTGCTTTAGGCGGATTGTCCCCCGAAGTTAACAAGGTCGCTCCAAATTTTGTACACCGAAATCGGAGTGGACTGCTGATGATATTACTTTTCTGATAGCAGCAGAGAGAAGAACTCGAAATGCTTCTTGTTTGAGAGAATATGTGAGAGTTGAGAATAAGTTGAGAAGCTTAGAAAGCCTCTCTATTTATAGGCAGGACGTCAAGGGTAAAATAGTCCAATAGAAATCATATTTATATTTGATTAATTTCTGTATTAAATCACTGCTTGAAACTGTTATAAAAAACAATTAAATCTAGCCTCCACTCAGTCCAGGTTCGTAGTTTAAAGTCCAGTTGTAACTTATGTAATTAAATTTGTAACTCTTGCATTTACTCTGTAACTGACACAATAAATATTTGAAAAATTCTTTAAATATGAAAAATCCTTACGAATTTTCTCCAAAAAGACAATATTCGTGTGGATGTGCTGAAGACACGTATTGCCACGAGCCATGACCACGACCTCGAGCACAAGAGGAGACGAGACGAGACGGACGAACGACAAAGGTTGCGCGCGAGATTACCCTTTATTGTTGCGTGTTGTGTGTGCTTAATATTGAACGCAAATGATGAGCAAGTATACACAATCGCACAAGTAATACAGTGATGAGTGAATATTGTATCCACAGGGATTGGTGGAAATTTATAAGTTTAGTCAAAGCAAAGAACTACTTTATCTATGTATAGTTAAGATGATGATATATACAAATGATTATGCCTAGAAAATGAAATATTTAAGAGTGGAATCAGAATGGTGGTACGATGGGTAGCAAATGAAAATGTCGGTAAAAATTTCAAGGCAATGCGCAATGATAAATATGCAGAATAAATGAAATAACTTGATTATTCTTACATGGGAAACTTCTACGGGAATGAATGGTGGGGAATCGCTTAGGAAGCTTAAAACTTATCTCTTAAGCTGACCTAGTCTTTTAGTGCCTTACTTGTTCGACGAAGTTTACTAAAGATGTTCTATGATATCTCTATTCTAAGAACCTAATAGAATAGGATGCCACGACATCTCCTCTCGGCCTGAGCATGACACTTTAAACCATCGATTACGTTTTACCCCTCTTAGTCGTTGAAATCCTAGCTTACTTTCTCTCGAATACTAAGGGATTAGGTTCTAGTAATTAACTACAACATATTGCTTATGCTAATCTTACTTTAGTTTCTCTCGAATACTAAAGAAGTTTCTCTCGAATACCTAGTATTCTACTTAAGAAATAAACACTTTTATGCCTCCTAAAATCTTAAGAGATTAAGCAATCATAAGCAAAACAAGTAACAAGAAAAAGAAAATATTAATCAACCATTCAAAACAAAGTTTAAAGCATCCATCAATGAACTCCACCAAATATAGTATACTTCATGGTAGGGTTTGAATAAACCATGAAAATTCCCAATTTGTTCATTCGTTCCTTATAACCCAATTGAAGATCAATCATAAAATGGAGCAATGGTTGGAGAAGAAAGCACTAGATGTGCATGGATGGCACTTCTTTCAAACCACTTTGAATGGCTATAGCGGCTAGCTCCTCTCAGATGCAAACACCACTCCCTTGAGCTTCACCAATGGAGGAACATCATTAAAAATGAATGGAAAAAATAAAAGAAAGAAGTTGAGCTCGTCAATGGAGGAAGAGAGAGTTGGAGAAGATGATGAATGAGATATATCCAAAATGATGTCCTTTTCTTTATAAATCTAAGGCATATTTTTACGGAAATTTTCCCAAAATTCCCATCATACCCCCAAGTACACTCTAAATGCGTTAATATTGATTCCATATGTGGCATTTGGTCCCATTCAGGTGGT